CTCTGTATTTCTGTGTCTTGCTGTGTTTTTCTGTGTCTCTGTCTCTCACTGTCTCTATCCCTCTGTATGTCTGTGTCCCCCGTCTCTCTCTGTTTCCCTTTTTTTCTGTCTCTTTGCCTCTGTCTCTGTTTCTCTGTATCTTTGATTCTATTTGTCTCTAATTTTCTCTCTTTATATAATCTTAATATCTTTGTGTCTCTGTATCTCTATCTCTGTCTCTATAACTAGCTTTGATTCTTTATGTCTGTGTGTATTTCTTCCTCTGTCTCTATGCTTTTGTGTCTCTCTCTCTCTTTCACTCCTGTCTTTTTCCATCTCTACCTTTTTCTGTCTGCCTATCTCTCTCCTCTCTTTGTTTCTGCCTCTGATTCTTTATCTGTTCATCTCTGTGTCTCTGTTTCTGTGTTTCTGTCTGAGTCACTCACTGTCTTTCTCCATCTGTCTCTGTTCCTTGTATCTCTCTTTTCTCTGTCTCTCTGTCTTTGATTATCTCTCTATCATGTAGTGTCTATGATTCTGTATATGCCTCTATCTCTCTGCGTCTCTGTCACCCCCTCTTCTCTCTGTCTCTGTTCCTGTCCTTGTTTCTCTCTCTCTTTCTCTGAATCTGTATCTCAATCTCTCTATGTCTCTGTATCTCTGCCTCTGTGTCTTTGTCTCTCCTTGTGTTTCACTGTCCTAAACTGATGAATAAGGGAAACATCACATCCACATCCTATTTGGTCTGTCACCACAGCCATCATGCAGACACGGGGCTCCTTCTAGAAGGTTCTCCACTATCAGGTGAAGATGAATGAAGAGAAGAGGAACTTCTGTCTTACATGACTTCATGAACTAATACCCTGGGAAGGTTCAGCAGTCCCAGCCTTGGACACTTGGCATCTCTGATCCAGGCTATTCCCTGGTCAGCCTCTTCAGGGTCTGGGCACTGCTGGCCATGGCCATACCTGTGGGCAAGTCTGGAACTCTGGGGGGCCATTAGACATGTCACCGACACCTGGATATGCAACCTCATGAGCTCCACAGAAGGGCACTAGCTGGGTCTGAGAAGAGACCAGAGCTATCCTGGTGGCTCAGGACCTGCCTCCAGCCCTGCAGGACAGGAGAGGGTAGGAGTGGGAGAGGGTCCCTGAGGATGAGTGATGAGGAGCAGCAGCAGGTGTAAGATTGTTTGCTCATGGCTGAGGGTGCGTGTCTGTCTGTCTGTGGTGTGGGCAAGAGTGTCCTTCTACCTTGGAGAGTGGCTGGGGCTCTTAACTGAGGACGTGGTGGATTTGGGTAGAGCCTGTGTGACCTGAGAGACATTGCTTGGCGTGACAAGGATGGCAGACTGCCCCAGGGGAGGCAAACACCCTCCACTTCCACCTCTGGGTCCCTGGACCCTCATCCCTGACTGCCCTCTTGCTCTAACTGGACCTGGATCCCTTCTCCACATGGCAGCCATCCTACACCTGGGTGCAGTCAGCAAAGTCAAGGTCCCCGCCCTGAGTCCCAGCTCCTTCATCTCCTGCCCTTACTGCTCTACCATCCTGCATCCCTGCCCAGCCTGACTGGCCTGGATTGCTCTTGGACCAGGGAAGAAGAAGCTTGGCTGGATCCCCTCCCACAGTCTGGGTTTTCTAGGTCATCCCCCAGTGCTGTGACCCTCCAAGTCTTGGTCTTGTGACCTCCTGGTATCATCAGTGTCCTGAGGCCTGACCCTACTGCTTGGTCTGTTCGTGACATCTTGCCTGCCTGCTTCTCCTGGGGGGCCAGAGACAGCCCAGCTTGACCACTCAGAGCTGGAATCCCAGTATTTCATGGTCCCAGCCCTCCTTTCCCCCTCTCACCCCACCCAGGCCCATGTCTGTGGTCTCGTGTAGGGCTGTGGGTTGCTCTCTGAGACCCAGAAGCCTGTCCTGCCTGGCACAACTTCTGTTGACAGGGCACAGGGCTGGGTAGGCATCCAGGGACCTCAGGGACAGGCCTGGGAGGTGCAGGGCCCAGAGCCTCATTGCCCCCTACTGCAGACAAACCAGACCCTAGGGCTCTGAACAGGATTCACTAGGCTCTCCCTGCTGTCAGCTGATCTGTGCACCTGCACCTCTGTCTGTGTTTACGGTTCCCTGGGTCAGGCCTGGGTGGGCCCTGCCCCAGACCACCCTGAGCAGAGAACATATGCCCTGCTCTCAGATTGGCCCCTCAAGGCAGGACATGGAAACATGGTGGACCAAGATGCTCAGGCTGTTTGTTCAGCCCCACGGGAAGTAGACATGCCTGAGTGACCCTCGGCGTGACTTCCTGAGGGCAGGGGCCTGGAGGGGGAGGAGGGGGTTGGAGGGTGAGCAAGTGTGTGGCTGTGGCATGAGGAGGTTTCTATGTGGTCAGGTGTGAATGTGTTTGTGTGAGTTTGTGTTTGGAGGTTCTGTGGATGTGTGACCCTTTGTGGGTGTGAGCTGCAGAAGGGGTTTGTGAACTGCGTGTCACCCCGCACTGCTGTCCCTTGTTCTCTTCCGTCTCTTTTTGTGTCTCCTCTCATTCATCTGTCTCTCTTACTGTCCCTATCTCTGTCTCTCCCTGTCTCTTGTTCCTATTTAGTGTCTCTGTCTCTCTTCCTGTCCCTAGTTCTCTTTCTCCTTTCCTGTCTCTGTCTCCCCTTATCCCTATCTCTATGTCTCTCAGTATCTCTATCCATCTCTGTGTCACTTTCCTTCTGTCTCTGTGTCTCTGCTTCTTCTCATCTCCATCCCTGTGTCTCTCAGTATCTCTCCATCACTCTGTGTCTCTGTCTTTCTGTCTCTGTGTCTTTGCTTTTTCTCATCTTCATCTCTGTGTCTCTCTCCTTAACCACATCTCTGTCTCTCTTGGTGTCTCTGTCACTCTGTGCCTCTGTCTCTCTCATGGTCTGGTTCTATCCCCTTTGGACCTCAGTTTTTCTTGGTGTGGGTCAGGTCCTGCCATGAGCCCTAGGGTGTTCTCCATAATCTGGCTTTGTCTGGGGCCTGGGGAACACTGAGGCAGGGTGTACAGTGTATGGGACTTGGTCAAGGTTCTCCTGGGCTTGCCTGGCCGAGCCTGGGTGTGTGTATAGGGCTGCACACTGCTAAGTCCTGCACAGGAGAGTCCCAGCAGAGCAGGTGTGTGCTGGGATAGCTTGGGCAGACCGTGGCTGATCCTGACAGACCCTGGCTGTCTTTTGCAGACCCAAGCTGATCCCCCTGGCCCTGGATAACCCTGTTTGACTTTGGCTGACGGTGGACACCTATTTGCCTGATGCTGGATGACCCTGGGCAGACCATACCTGATTTTGGTTGAGTTTTTCTAATCCTGGCTGAACTTGCCTCACTAAGGCCTGATAGTGGCTGACCATAGCTAGTCATGGCTGACCTTAGATGATTCTGGCTGATTCTTTTTGACCTTGGATAACCCGGTTAACCTTGGCTGACCCCTGTCTGATCTTGGTTGACCTTGGCTGGTCAAGCATCCTTGCTTGACTCTGGATGACCCTGGGCAGGCCAGAGATGGTTTTGGTTGATTTTTTTTTCCCAATCCTAGCTGAACTTGGTCTTACTAAGGCCTGGTGGTGGCTGACCATGGGTTACTCGGGGTGGGGACTTCTCAAACTTAGGGGACCTTACTGACCCTGCAGGGCTCTCCTTGGTTCCAGCCCCTACACAGGCCTGCAACCCCACCTGGTCAGTTCTCGGTTTGTGGTGTGATTCTCAGAACAACAGCTCTCTTTTGGGATACCTGGGCTAGGCTCTGCTCAGAATGACTCAGCCACTCTCAGGGCAATTTTAGATCTTTCGGCAGGTGATAGACACTGGAGGTTTCAGAAGAAAGAGAAAAACAATAGCACACAAACAAGATACCGCCACCCTGCTTCTCTCCCATACTGCAACCCCTCTTCACAGTGGTGACCCCTGACCTGGGGACCTTGCATGGACAGAGACTCCAGGTCCCACAGGTCTGGGTCACTTGGTGTCCCCACACCCACTCTGGTTTTGGGAGGATGTGTGAGCAAAGGGCCATTGTTCTCCTATAGTGCATAGACAGTTTCTTGTGTCCATTGGAAGCTTCCCTCCAACCCTGCACGGCCTTTCCCAACGAGACTGAGGCTCCGGACATAGAAACAGCACTCAGTGGGTCAGACAGAGCAATGCAGACTTAACCTCAAATAACTGGATATGAGGTGAGGACTGGAGCCAGAGATTATGATCAGTCTCAGTGACCCAGGATCTCGGCTCAATATCGAGGCCCAGAGTTCAGAGATTAGTCTAGGATCTGGTATTCTGGTCCAGGGCCTTGTGGTTAGGGCCAGAATTTAGTGATCAGGACCAGCACCCACTGATCTAGTGCCAGAGATCGGGAGCAAGATTCAGGTATGAGACCAAGGTCCAGTGTTCAGGATCAGAGCCCAGTGACCTGAACAGTGTTCAGGCCCAGGCCCAGTGACTCACGTGATGAGGATCAGATCTTTTTGATAAGGATTAGGGCTTAGTGATCAGGGCCAGGACTCAGGCATTAGGATTAGGGCCAGTGATCAGCACCATTGCTCAGTGCTCAGGGCCAAGGCTCATTGTTGAAGACCAGGGCTTAGTGATCTGCACTAGGTCCTAGTTAAAAGAACTAAGACTCAGTGAACACAACCATGATTTATTAATCAGAATCAGGGTCCAATGGTTAGGAGCAGGGCTCTGTTATCTGATCCAGGATTCAGTGATGAGGATCAAGGCTCCATGATTAGTAAGAAGACTCTAAGATCATGACCAGGGTCCAGTGATCAGGACTAGGGATAAGTGATTGGGAACAAGACTCAGTGATCAGGGCTAGCACTTGGTGATTGGGACCAAGGCCCAGTGATTGGGACCAGATTCTGGTGGTAAGGACCAGGGCTCAGGATCCTGTGATCAGGATCCAGCCTCAGTGCTTAGGTCCCAGGCTCATTGTTCAGGACCAGAAATCAGTGACCTGTACCACTGCCCAGTTATTAGGACTAGGTCTCAGTGATCATGGAAGGGATTTGTGATAAGAACCAGGGCTTAGTGATCAGGATCCAGCTTCAGTGCTTAGGTCCCAGGCTCAGGACTAGGGCTTAGTATTCAGGAGCCATCCTCAGAGTCAGTGTCCAGTGACAAGGATAGGGCTCAGTGATCAGGTTTTGGGAGCTGGCCACTGCTCTGAGGAAGAGTTTTCCTGGATATCCTCTCTTGGTGAAGCCAGAATTCAATTTTGGCCCTTAACCCTCTGCAGGACCAGGTCATATCTTGGACACGAGACAAGGGACACCCAGATGTTCTGTGATGTAGGCATGCTCCACTATGGTGTCACTATCCTCTCCCTTCAATCCCTCCCCCCATCTGAGAACATTTGCCTCTGAGAGTCTGAGAAAGTATGCTTCTGGAAGAAATTTATTTCACAGGAAGGCATGTGAGTGGGGTGAGGTGGTCGTCACACAGGGCTCAGCTCTGACATGGAGAGAGGCTCCTCCAGTCTTCCTCCCTGAAAAGACAAGAGGGGCCAGGGGCAGAGGGGCTCCTGAGGACGGGCAGCATCCTTGCCAGTGCCCTTTCCTGTCTCAGCCCTGCCTGGCTTCTGGGAGACTGGGTTGAATCCCGAAGTTACTGTGTCCATGGGAAGCTCCTGCCTGACCCCAGATTTCTGTGTCCTCAGTGTCACGTGCTCCCTGGGTAGCAGAGCTCCATGTGGAGGGGCAGGCAATTCTCTCTTTAGAGTTGAGCACTCCATGGTCACTTTAGTCCCCCATTTCCCTCTTGCTGCCCACTGTCTTCCTTCAGATCCCCACCTGTGCCTCGTAGGCTTCTACTCAGTACTGGGGGTCCCCTTTGCTGCCAGTTGGGCCTCTCACAGTTGTCACAGTGAGTGCTGTGCTGTAGAACAGGCTCAGCAGTAAGAGGGTGAGGAAAGTGATGGTGGTGGGCCACAGGCTGGCACCAGGGGCCTCCTCCTCCAGGCTCTCTTGTGGCTGGTCCAGCACCACCCAGGGCAGCATCTCTTGACATTCTGTAAGACAAAGAGGGCCTGCCAGACCTAGATTGTGTGGGTGGTGTTCTGGACCTACATTTCCCCTTCCTAGTTTCCTTGGGGCCTGGACACAGTGGCAGTGGAGGTTCCCTATCTCAGATCCTCCCTTGCTCAGGGAGGACTAGAAGGCAGCTCCAGGTAAAGGGTTGGGCCTCTGTAGCTCTTGGGAGGCCTACAGGACCCATCTCTCTCAGGGGACCTTGATAAGAGACATGGCATGGCAGGAGGGTAGACACTATCTTTGCAGCTCCAAGAAGAGTTGGAAACCAAGGCCTCTTGGGTCTCAGCCCTAGCTAGGTACTTGGACTGGCCTTGGCCTGGGTATTGGGGCCAGACAGGACCAGACACACCTTCAAGACATAGATACAGAGTTCTGGATCTGAGGTTGGCATGACGAGGGATGGATAGGTGTGATCAGAAGACTCTGTTGCATTCCCAAGAAATGTGGCAATGAGTCACCCGCAAGGGTCAGGCAAAGGCCACCAGCATGGACAGCACTGCTATCTTCAGGGTCTCAGGGTGTAGACCTTTCATATGAAATGGAAGTTGGACCTGCTTGTCATATTCTGATATATCCAATTGTTCATCTGTCCTTTTACCCATCTTTTCATACATTCATAAAGCTGTCATCCATCTGTCCATCCCTTCTTCAACTTTACTATTTATCCAGTCAGTTATCATCCATCCGTCCATCCATTTCTCCATCCATCCATTACCTGCCCAGCTATCCACCTACCTATCTTCCACCCACCTATCCATCTATCCATCCATTATAAAGCTATCATCTATCCATCCACCCAACCATCCTCCACCCACTTATCCATCCATCTATAAACCTATCTATCTATAAACCTGTCATTCTATCCTTCCATACATCCATCTGTCCTTCCATCCATCAATTCTTCCATCTGTCTCCCACTCAACTGTCTACCTATCCATCCCTCTTCCATCACTGATCCATCTTCCCATCCTCCCATCTATCTATTAATTTATCATCCATTCATCCATCCTCTGGTTATTCACCCATCTACCTACCCACCCATCCACCCACTCACCACCCATCTATTCATTATATGTTCCATGATTCATCTGCTTATCTACTTGCTATTCATCCGCTGGTTCAACCCTTCATTGCTTGATTCCTCCTTTCCCCTCTCTAGAAGGCCCCTCCTCTGGGGCTGGTTCTGGGCCCCATGAGGTGTCTGGGGCACTTCTCTGGGGCAGGATTTCCCCAGTTGGCCTGTTGTTCTCCCTGTTCCCCCCGGTGACAGTACTCTCAAGAGGGAGAGCAGTGTCTGGGGCATGTTGGCCTTTGACTTCCCCTTGGCCCTGAGGGCAGAAGGAGCCTGCTGGAGGCCAGACTACCCGCCCCCCCAGGCTCTGAAGGCATCTGAGACAAGACCAGTGCCCACTGCCCCCTTGTGGGCATGCTGGTGCCAGGTGTCCCCACAGAGGTTGTGGAACTGTTCTCTTTGTGCTCTTGGGGGCCCATGCACAGGAGAAACTTGAAGAGTGGCCTAGGTAGGAGAGTTCTCTTGCTTCTGACCCCTCCCAAGCCTTGCCCATTCCCTTTCTATGGTTTGGTCATACTTGGGCTCAGGGAAGTAAGGGAGATTTGCATCTGGGAGCTAGGCAGGGCATGAGAGCAGCCTGGGAGGCGTGTTTGGATTTGTTTCTGAGCTGAGCATAGGTGAACACAGAGGGAAGCCAGGAAGTACCTGGAGTAGCTGGACTGGGCCTGGGGACCCCCAGTGGGGGCTTGGGTGGGGACTCCAGTTGCCTTCTTGGAGCTGGGTATGGGTTAGGAACTTCCTGCACCTGCAGAGCGCAGATGTGAGCTTGGGAATATGAACATGTATGCATGTGTGCCCACGTGCATGTGTACAGAGCATCATGGTGCCAGGCAGGCTGTGCCCATGTGGTAGCCCCTTTCTGCACGAGTCAGTAATTGTTCTGTGCTACTGTGTCTTGTTACACCCAAGGTTGATCCACTGAGGGTGGGTGGGACCTGCCTTCCTCCTGGTGCCCCTGGAATCCAGCCCTTCTTTCCCTTGCATTCCCTCCTAAATGGTTCCAGCCTCATTCTGGCTGACTACTCCTCTCTTGCCCTTGCAGCCAGAGGTGACAGTCTAAGATACAAACAACCATGTTGCCTGACCACCCAGAAATTTTTGATGGCCCCAATGTTCTTGGATCTTCCCCCTCCTGTGCTATGTCTGCCTTGGCTAGACTTTGCTGACTTCAGATTTCACACCCAGCTAGGCCTCACCTCCTGTACGATGCACACTCACTCAGTCAAATGCACACACATAGACACACTAGACACACACTCAGGCACTGTCTCCATCTACTGGCACACACACACACACAGGCACACACTCACACACACATGGACTCCAGGGGTGAAGGCTTTCTGTGGTGCCAGAGGCTCAGGCAGCAGTTGCTCCTTCCTCCTAGGCCCTGTCCCTCCTTGTATGCAGCAGACCCTGAGAATGACGAATGGGTGCCAGATGGACATATAGGGCTGCTTTGGACGAGTATGGAGTTTATTCAAGGGATGGGGGCAGGCAGAGCCGCTCAGTAGCAGGTGCCGTCTGCCTCCGACAAGATTACAGACACGTTGAGGTTGTTGGGTTTACCCGAATGGCGGTCAATGGTTTTCTGGATTAAGCCAGTGGGCAGGGTCTCGTGGATCACTATGCAGGAGAAGTTTTCACCCTTCTTCCAGTCTGCGGTCTTCACACGCAGTATGCTGGTTGCCACGTAGGTGATGGCGCCCTCATTTGGCTCCCTCAGGGGTCCCCACACCACATAGTCGTTGGGGGGCACCTTCTCGGTCCCCTGCAGCCAGCGCACCAGCACCTCTGGAGGGTTGAATCCCCGTACCAGGCATGTCAGCGACACCAGCTCATTCAGGGGCAGCTCCTCCGGTGGCGGCGGCAGCAGGTGGACCTGAGGCCGGAAGGTGTTCTCTGGAGAGGGTAGAGAGCTAGGTTAGGGGTCTAAGCAGAGGAGGAAAGGGTCCCTACCCTGATGGGCAACCCAGGCATGTCCTGAGTCCCCTCATCCAGCTTCAGTTTCCCTCTGTAAAATGGGGGTGGGAATAGCTGAGTGCAGGCACTGTAGGGAGGAGGCAGACATGAAAACTGCACAGTGCCTTTAGTACCCCGTGGGTGGGACTGGGCCCACCTGTGGCCTTGGCAATGGTGGCAGTTTTTGGCTCCTCTAGCTCAGGGTGGCTGACTGTGCACGTGAAGGTCTCCCCTCTTTTCCAGAGCTCAGCGCAACCGGGCAGGACACTGGACACACTATAACAGCCACAGGAGTCACGCTTAGGTCTCTTCGGTTTGCGGTCCTTCCCTCCCAAGGGCTGCCAGTTGAAGGTGGCTCCTCTAGGGTTCTTCAGGCCACTCAGTGTGCATGTGAGGCTGGCATCATCTGGGCGCAGGAGCAGGTCTTCGAGGTCTGGCCGTTGCAGTGACAGGCTGGGTTGGCAATTTGTGTCATTTAGACAGTCTTTTGGATCTATAATTAGAGAGAAGCCCTGGCAGGTTAGCATACCCTTCCTGCCCCCTGACCTGCCCCTCTCCCTGGGCCTCAGCCCTTATTTGTCTGTCTCTGGCCACTGTTGAGGCCCAGCCAGGCAGTCCACTCTGGTGGTTCATGGGGTCCCGTTGTGGGGGGGTGTCTGTTGGGAACATGAGTCCAGGCACCTAGTCAGGGCAGGACAGGCCCCACCCCCAGCCTACCCTCTGACCTTTGCAAGGTACAGCCACATCCTGGGTGGGGCTAGAGTCATGCTGCACGTAGCATGTCAGGGACATGTCATCTGGGCACTGGTCAGCAGGCAGGGTCAGTTGGCTGCTCATGATGTACAGGCCCTCTGTGGCCAGGACAGGCGGGAAGTTTCTGAGGACCACAGGATCCCCACTCTTGCTCCAGGTCACATTCACAGGTCCGGAGGGGAAGAAATCCCGAATCAGGCAGCCGACAATCACTTCATCTTCTGACTCGGCCTTTGCAAGGCTCAGTGGGAAGATGGTGGGTGAGGTCAGGGGCACTGGAACACAGGATGTGTCATGAGATGGTGGACTCCTACACTGCCCACTCTGATTAGCCCCTGAGGACAGGACCATGTCTGCCCTTCCTTTGCACTGGAGGAACCTGGCCCACAGAGGGCTAGGGACCATCCAGTGGCACACAACTCCTGGGTCATGAGCCTGGCATTGGAGCCAGTCAACTGGTTCTTGCTACGCTGCTTCTGATCCTGACCTGAAGACAGTCCTTGCCCCGACAGGCACTTCCCACAGGACCCTCACAGAGAGGTCCTCTCACAGTGGTGCTTACTGAATAATGGCCTTGCTCTGGGTAGCTCATGCCCTAGCTCCCCAAGCCTCACTCCCCTGTGGGCAGTGGGCACAGCTCCAGGGTTTGGGTGATCATGAGTGGTGGGCAAGGGCAGGGACAGAGCTGCCTGGGCTTGAGCTCAGCCTGCATGGGGTGAGGTGGGCAGGTCAGGACTGGCTGAAGGTCACATTAGGAAGGAGGGACCATCCTGCCTGGGTCCCTCTTCACACTTGGCCTGTCAGGGCCTAAGGTCCATCACCCATGGACCCTACTTCAGCCCCCAAGAAGCAGCAGTAGACCCCATTGATGTACAAAGGTCTCAAGACCAAGCAAATCCAGAGCAGTGCTGCTGCCTGGGCAGGGCCAGAACACTGGGTGTGCACTAGCCACAGGCACACCTGAATTTCCATCAGGGTAATGGGAAGGAGAGGAGAACATCTGGGATCATATTGAGCTTCATGGTCCCATGTGTCTAATAGAAACAGGGGCTTCCAGCTGTATCAAGGGGACTCTTATTGATTCACACTGAGCCCAGAGGTTCCTAATCAGCTCAGCCCAGTGCAGCTCAGTGCAGGCAAGTGAAACCCCTCAATCTAGACAGTTCAGACAGCCCAGCTCAGTCCAGCTAAGCTTAGCTCAGAGAGCCCAGCTCAGCTTAGTCGAAACAGCACAACTCAGTCCAGATAACCCAGCTCAGCTGAGATAGCCCTGCCCAGCTCAGTTCAGCCCAAACAGACAGGACAGCCCTGCCTAGCCCAGCTCAGCCCAACTGACCAGACAGCCCAGTTCTGCTCAGCTCTGCTCAGCCCAACTCAGCCCAACTCAGCTCTGCCCAGTTCAACCCAGGGAGCCCATCTCAGCCCAGCCCAGCCCAGACAGGCCAGTTCAGCCCAGAGAGTCCAGCTCAGCTCAGCCCAAATAGCCCAGCTCAGTCCAGAGAACCCAGGTCAGTCTAGCCCAGCCCAAGCAGCCTAGTTCAGCTCAGCCCAAACAGCACAGCTCAGTCCAGATAACCCAGCTCAGCTGAAATAGCCCTGCCCAGCTCAGTCCAGTTCAGCCCAGCTCAGCTCAGCTCATCCTAGCTCATCCCAGCTCAGCTTAGAGAGCCTAGTTTTGCCCAGCTCAGCCCAGTTCAGCCCAGTTCAGCTCAGCTCAGCTCAGCTCTGCCCAGCTCATCCCAGCCCAGCCCAGCTCATCCTAGCTCATCCCAGCTCAGCTCAGAGAGCCCAATTCAGTCTAGCTTGGCCTAGATCAGCCCAGCTCAGCCCAGTTCAGTCCAGCTCAGTCAACTCAGCCCAGTTCAGCCTAGCTCAGCCCAGTTCAGCCCAGTTCAGCTCAGCTCAGCCTAGCTAAGCCTAGTTCATCCCAGCTCAGGTTAGAGAGCCTAGTTTAGCCCAGCTCAGCCCAGTTCAGTGCAGCTCAGCTCAGCTCAGCCCAGCTCAGCCCAGCTCAGCCTAGCTCAGCCCAGCTCAGCTTTGAGAGCATAGTTTATCCCAGCTCAGTCCAGCTCAGCCCAGTTCAGCCCAGTTCAGCCCAGCTCAGCTCAGAGAGCTTAGTTCAGTCTAGCTTGGCCTAGATCAGCCCAGCTCAGCCCAGTTCAGTCCAGCTTAGTCAACTCAGCCCAGTTCAGCCTAGCTCAGCCCAGTTCAGCCCAGTTCAGCCTAGCTCAGCTCAGCTCAGTCTAGCTCAGCCTAGTTCATCCCAGCTCAGGTTAGAGAGCCTAGTTTAGCCCAGCTCAGCCCAGTTCAGTGCAGCTCTGCTCAGCTCAGCCCAGTTTAGCCTAGCTCAGCTCAGTTCAGTTTAGAGAGCCCAGCTCAGCTCAGCTCAGCTCAGTTCAGCCCAGTTCAGCCCAGCTCAGCCCAGCTCAGCCTAGCTCAGCCCAGCTCAGCTTAGAGAGCCTAGTTTAGCCCAGCTCAGTCCAGCTCAGCCCAGTTCAGCCCAGTTCAGCCCAGCTCAGCTCAGAGAGCTTAGTTCAGTCTAGCTCATCCCAGCTCAGCCCAGTTCATCCCAGTTCAGTCTAGTTCAGCTCAGTTCAGCCTAGATAGCACAACTTGGCTCAGAGAACCCTGCTCAGCTCAGCTCAGCCCAGCCCAGTCCAGTCAGCCCAGCTCAGAGAGCCCAGTTCAGTCTAGTTCAGCCCAGCTCAGCATAACTCAGCCAGGTTCAGCCCAGACAGCACAGCTTAGCTCAGAGAGCCCAGCTCAGCCCAGCCCAACCCAGCTCAGCCTAGTTCAGCTTAGAAAGCCCAGTTTAGCCCAGAAAACCCAGCTCAGCTCAGCTCTGCCCAGCTCTGCCCAGCTCAGACCAGCCTAGCCTAGCTCATCCTAGCTCATCCTAGCTCATCCCAGCTCAGCTCAGAGAGCCCAGTTCAGTCTAGCTTAGCCTAGCCCAGCTCAGCTCAGCCCAGCTCAGCCCAGTTCAGTCCAGCTCAGCCTAGCTCAGCCCAGTTCAGTCCAGCTCAGCCTAGCTCAGCTCAGCTCAGCCTACCTCAGCCCAGCTCAGCCCAATTCAGTCCAGCTCAGTCTAGCTTACCCCAGTTCAGCCCAGTTCAGCCTATCTCAGCCCAGTTCAGTCCAGCTCAGCCTATCTCAGCCCAGTTCAGCCCAGTTCAGCCTAGCTCAGCTCAGCTCAGCCTAGCTAAGGCTAGTTCATCCCAGCTCAGGTTAGAGAGCCTAGTTTAGCCCAGCTCAGCCCAGTTCAGTGCAGCTCAGCTCAGCTCAGCCCAGTTCAGCCTAGCTCAGTTCACTTCAGCTTAGAGAGCCCAGCTCAGCTCAGCTCAGCCCAGCTCAGCCCAGCTCAGCCTAGCTCAGCCCAGCTCAGCTTTGAGAGCATAGTTTATCCCAGCTCAGTCCAGCTCAGCCCAGTTCAGCCCAGTTCAGCCCAGCTCAGCTCAGAGAGCTTAGTTCAGTCTAGCTTGGCCTAGATCAGCCCAGCTCAGCCCAGTTCAGTCCAGCTTAGTCAACTCAGCCCAGTTCAGCCTAGCTCAGCCCAGTTCAGCCTAGCTCAGCTCAGTTCAGCCCAGACAGCACAGCTTGGCTCAGAGAGCCCAGTTCATCCTAGCTCAGCCCAGCTCAGCCTGACTCAGCCAGGTTCAGCCCAGACAGCACAACTTAGCCCAAAGAGCCCAGCCCAGCTCAGCTCAGTTCAGGCCAGCTCAGCCCAGCCCAAACCAGCTCAGCCTAGCTCAGCTTAGAAAGCCCAGTTTAGCCCAGAGAACCCAGCTCCGCTCAGCTCTGCCCAGCTCAGCCCAGCCCAGCCCAGCTTATCCTAGTTCATCCCAGTTCAGCTCAGAGAGCCCAGTTCAGTCTAGCTTAGCGTAACTCAGTCCAGCTCAGCCTAGCTCAGCCCAGCTCAGCCCAATTCAGTCCAGCTCAGTCTAGCTCAGCCTAGATCAGCCCAGCTCAGCACAGTTCAGCCCAGTTCAGCCTAGCTCAACTCAGCTTAGCCTAGCTCAGCCCAGTTCAGCCCAGTTCAGTCCAGCTCAGCCTAGCTCAGTCCAGTTCAGCCCAGTTCATCCTAGCTCAGCCCACCTCAGCCTGACTCAGCCAGGTTCAGCCTAGACAGCACAACTTAGCCCAAAGAGCCCAGCCCATCTCAGCTCAGTTCAGGCCAACTCAGCCCAGCCCAACCCAGCTCAGCCTAGCTCAGCTCAGAAAGTCCAGCTTAGCTCAGCTCAGGTCAGACAGCTTAGCCTAGACAGCTCAGCTCAGCCTGGAGAGCCCAGCTCAGCTCAGCTCAGCCCAGCTCAACCCAGCTCAACCCAGCTCAACCCAGTTCTGACTTAGAAAGCTCAGCTTAGCCCAGTTTAGCCCAGACAGCCCAACTCAGCTCAGCCCAGACAGCCAGCCCAGTCTAGCTCATCCCAGTTCAGCTCAATTTAGCCCAAACAGCCTAGCTTAGCCCAGCCTGACCCAGCCTAGCTTAGCCCAGATAGTCCAGCTTAGTCCAGAGAGCCCAGCTCAGCTCAGCCCAGCCCAGTCCAGTCCAGCCTAGTCCAGTCCAGTTCAGCCCAGCTCAGCCAAGTCAGCCCAGCCTATCCCAGCTCAGCTCAGCCCAGCCCAACCCAACTCTGCTCAGTTCAGCACACATCGCCATCCTGCCCCTTGCCCTTTCTCCTGTTTCTCTCCTCAGCCCAAAATGTTTCCTTCCTGTTGCTTCACAGAAAGTTCTGTTTTATCCCAGTTTTCTCTGCATATCAGCCCACAGTATGGTAGCTTGTGCCTGCGCCTGTTCCCATCCTGCCTCTGGGGTCTCCCTCTGGGGTCTCCCTCTGGGGTCTCTCTTCCAATCTCCTGTTCTGATTATGGTGTCATTCTCCAGTCTGTGCTCCCAAGATTGTCCAGGACTGGACTTGCTGAGATTCCTCAGTGTACCAAGGAGCAGACGAGGCCAGAGAGCATCAGCACCCACCTGTTCAGCACCTGTTGTGTGTCCTCCACTGGGGAGGGCCAGGCCTCCCTTGGCTAAGTGGCCCCACAATTCAGGCTCATCCTCATGGCGAATGTCCACCTGCCTCAGAGGCCCTACGGTGAGCAGGTCCAACAGAGGCCTGGTCCCGGCCTCGCCTTGATGACTGTGCTCCCTCAGCAGCGTCTGCCCCACTCTGGACCAATTGCCATGGATGGGGTCAGGCTGGATGGGGAGAGAGCAGGCTGGGGAGGGGTGGCATGGATGTGTTTGGCCCCCAGATGGGGTCCCTCACCCACTTCCTGCTCCACCTCCACTTTGCCGCAGCTTGCCTCCATGTCATGTCTGGTCTGTGGTCTGGTTGTGGTGGGGGCAGCTGTGTGTGGCCTGGGTTGTGTGACCCCATGGGTCATGGTGGAACCAAGACACCACATGGCTGGCCACAGGGCTGGGCTGAGGGCTGAGATGCAGGGAAAGGGCCTGACATAGACATAGGTAGCTGCTCAGAGACACTGAAACAGATGGAGCGGGAGAGAGGCAAGTCAGGGGCTGGATGGGAAGTCTGAGCGCTGGCAGGTCAGGGGCTCTAAGGGGCAAGGCTGGCCCAGAGTGAACCCTAGCCAGGAAGGTCTCTAGAAGACCTGTGGGATCACAGGTGGGCATCAGGGTAGGGAGAGGGTCTTGTAGGTCTGGAGCTATTCCAGCCTGGCCATGAGCTGTGGCGACACCCTTGGCCAGCCCCATGAGAAACTGAGGGTCCCATACCCTAGGGTAGGGGCTTGGGCCTGCAGACTGTCAGCCCAGTGTCACCACTACCCACATCCCCTGCTGCCCTGGGCCAACTCCTGCCAGGGCTTTTTTACCCTGGGGCCTCTGCCCCGCAGGCCTCCTCAGAGGCTGCTGGGCTGAGCTTCATCCTTTGCCTGCTCCTGTGTACACCTCATGCTGTCCACTGCTTCCACAGCCATGGAATTGTACCTGTAGAAAGCCCCTGACTTCCTTGTGTCCTGATGATATTCCTTGGTCAGTTGCCCCTGTCTGGGCAACAGGACCAGCTGACCTTGTTTATATCAGAGTTCTTCAGCCACGGCCAGGTTCTGTAGCCGCACTTAGGCACTGGACAGTCCTTGTCCGAGAAGGGCCGCACTGGGAGGAGAGGCAGTGAGCCAACCAGGGCACAATGGATGGAGCTTGTGGCTGGTGTTGCATCCTGGGTTTGGGGAAGTTGGCTGTTCCTAGGGTCCTGGCTAAAGCTGGGGCACTTTTCAGAGGAGCAGCTGCAGCAGCGGAGTCCTGGGAATTATGGGGTAGATTGGAGGTCTCCTGGCTGCAGGTCTGGTCAGGGGACGTGGGAGCTGGAGAAGGCTCCTGGGACCTGGGAAGATGCACCAGCCTGGCTGGAGGAGCAGTGGAGGTCCCGTCATCACCCCGGGGTGCTTGGAGTTGTGAACAGTGGGGAACATTGTGGCTGCATGTCTTAGTCATTTCTAGCTGCTATAATAAAAATACCCCAGACTGGGTGACTTAACCAATAAATGGTTCTCTTTCACAGTTCTGAAGGCCAGAAACCCAAGATTAAGGCACTGGTGAGGTTCACTTAGGGTTTTTCCAGCCAGGTAACAAGAGGTCCTCTCAGGACAGTCAGAGGGGCTCTGCTGGGCTAATGTGATGCCTCAGCAAGCTGTGTGCATGAGGGAGCCCCGGAAGACAAGGACTTGCTACAGGTAAAATTCCATGGAGTCAAAGCATTGGCTAGGCAGTTGCTGGCCAGCATCCTCACAGGTGTTTTCTCTGTAGGACCGAGGTGGCTTTGTGAGAGGCTTTGGAGCTCTTGTGACAGTTCTGGTCAGGCAGGCCCGCACAGGAGACTTTCTTTGAGGGATTCTTGGCTCCAACGAAGAGGGTTTGACATAGTGACTTCACTTTGACCCTGCCAGATTTCAGCTTCAACATTTTAATTTTGGGAGACACGGGCAGTCAGCTCTTGGCCTATATCTCTCCTGGCTTGGCCTCCGTCCTCTCACTGCTGAGTGCAAAACTCCCCAGTAAGTCCACATTCACTGATCCCAGGATATGGCTGCATTTTTGGGGGCCCTCATTCAGCCCCCTTTGGTGGGCTGATAAGAAAGTACAGAGGAAGGGCAGAGGAGCCTGGGAAAGCCTCCTCTTGGTCTTAGGAGGCCATATCAAGGGGAGGGCAGGGAGCGATCCTGCTTTCTGAGTGTAGGCTCATGGATGCCTCCATGAACTCTGGACAGGGTGACCCTCTCACCTTTCTTTCAGGTCTGTGAGGGTGCCTGGCACATAGGGGCCCAATGAGCAGAGAGCCCCTGCTGCCCATGTTCTGGGGTTGGTGGGGGTCTCATGGGGAACTGACCAGAGAGGACACTGAGACCTGCCTTCTGGGGCTCCTGGCCCAGGAAGACAGAGGAAGGTGCCCAGGCCTCAGCCTGGAATGGGACAGAGGTTTGGGAGATTCTGGCGGTGGTGGCGGGGTCCTGAGTCTGGCTTCCCAAGACAGTGCATGAGTGTCTGAGTGCACATGACTGTTGTGTTGAGTACGTGAGAGAGTGAGCAGTTTGTGTGTCTCTGTGTGTGTGCGCAGTGTGTGTCTGTGTGTGAGACTGGGGGTCTGTGCATTCACAAATGTGTGTCTGTATGTCCGGGTGTCTCTGTGTTGAGCGAGTGTAACCGTGTGTCCCTGAGTGTGAGTGCCCACGTCAGTGGAGAAGAGCTGGGCAGGGCTGTGGCCTTGGCAGCGCCCTGGGTGGCCCCTCTTCTCTACTCAGACCAACTGCGATGTCCCTGGACAGCTGCCCATTGCCCAATCCTGGTTCCTCGCCCCCAGTGAGGAGTGCCTCTCCCCTTTGCTGCCTATGCCTGGCTGCCCAAGGCCTTCAGGAGCTCAGCTCTGCAGGGGATTGGATACTGTGGCCCAGCTCTGGCAGGCTCTTTTCCACCCTAGTTCTGTCCTAGTTCTGTGTCAGAGTCCACTTGATGTTGGATTTGGATCCCTGAGGTGGGCCTCCCTGTGGGGCCGCTGCCACGAGTGATAAACAAGTGTGTTTGGCCAACTGGCCCCCAAAATTGTCTTAAGAATTCACATGCTCTCAGCCAGGGCCAGAGAGGGTTATGCCCACCCCTAGTGTCTTCTCACTGTAACTGTTTTAATCATCGAGAACATTTCCCGCATATTATTGGGTTGTTCCTTTCCATGAAGGATCCGTTGTTTACTTTTCTTTTCATTGGTTCCCAGTGCCTTTGTATATGAGGAAGCCCTTTGCTGCCTATGCCTGGCTGCCCAAGGCCTTCAGGAGCTCAGCTCTGCAGGGGATTGGATACTGTGGCCAGCTCTGGCAGCTCTTTTCCCCCTAGTTCTGTCCTAGTCTGTGTCAGAGTCCACTTGATGTTGGATTGGATCCCCTGAGGTGGGCCTCCCTGTGGGGCCGCTGCCACGAGTGATACAACAAGTGTGTTGGCCAACTGGCCCCAAAATTGTCTTACAGAATTCACATGCTCTCAGCCAGGGCCAGAGAGGGTTATGCCCACCCCTAGTGTCTTCTCACTGTAACTGTTTTAATCATCGAGACATTTCCCGCATATTATTGGGCTTGTTCCTTTCCATGAAGGATCCGTTGTTTACTTTTCTTTTCATTGGTTCCCAGTGCTCTTTGTATATGAGGAGCCCTGCCCTTCATCATGTGGGTTGAAGGATTGTTCCCTCACTTTGTTGGACTTCGTGGAGACCTGTAAGCAGGTCTCTTCAATCAGGAAAGCTGTCTTTTTTTGTGCCGAGGAGTGGCACAGCCTCAGGCTTCTCTCTGTCCTCGACCAGCCTGGCCGCTCCCCCTACACCTGTTCTTTTGTCTTCCTAGTCCATGCAGGATTCTTCCTAAGGCAGGAGACGAGGGGATATGGAAAGGACCTTTATTGAGAACCCAGAGATGGGACAGGACTGTCAGAGCAGGGATGGAGGTTGATGAGGCCCTGGGGCTGGGGCCTGGTAGCCCCCGTTCCTGTGGGAAGTCTGTCTTTAGCTGTGGGACTGCTTACCCAGCCCAGGGGTTTGAAGTCCCCACCAGTCCTATAGTCTCACCCCTGGGGGTTTGTCTGCCTCTTCATTCTGTAGGAATAGGAGCTGGGGGTGGGGAGCAGGAGGGAAAGGCTGGGCCAGGCTTGGGGGCAGGTGGGGGCAGAAGGAGCTGGACTCTGAGTGAGGGCCGGGGCTTCATTCAGACAGCCTCTGAATGCGTGCCAGTTTTGGTTCTGGATTCTGGGTAGTGGTCAGGCCATGGGCTCTGGGCCCTCATTGTGTTTTTGTGGTTGTTCAGTCAGTATGGGTGTGACTCTGATGCCCACAGGCCTGGGGTGAGACCACTGTAGCCCCAGACGCTCTGTTGAGGGGACAGATGCTATTCTGGGGCTTGTCTCAGGGGGCCGGGGCAGCCTGCACTGTGGCCACGAACCTTCTGGATTCTGGTGTGTTGGTTTTTGGGCCCCTGACTCTGGCCTCTGTGTGAGTGTGGGGTCTGTGTGCTCCCACCTGCTACCCAGGGCAGAACAGGAAGCTCAGGATGCTGTAAGGGTGCTGGTGTCCAGCCTAGGCCCGAGGCTGGAGGACGTTGGCATAGTCGTGGAGAGCTTGAGGCGTGCTCTGCAGTAGGGCTGAGAAGACCCACTTCACCTGGGGGAAGGTGTGTGTGAGGGTGGCTCACCTTGAGGAGGGTGACAGTGGCACCATAGCTTCACGCTGAGAAGAAACAAGATGATGAAAATACAGGTGCTGGTCCACAGCCCGTCCAGCTCCTCACTCTCGGCCTCCTCTGTGCACAGGTCCTGGAGGTCCAGCTCTGGGGTACCAACCAGTCAGCCCTCCCCAGCCTTGGGCGCAGCAGTGTGGGAAGGGTGGAGCCCTCGCTGGTCTCAGCAGCCCTGCTGAGGCTCAGAGTGGCATAGCTCTCTGCCCTGCCTCCTGTGGACTCTCTGAGCCCCTGACCACCTTGGAGGGTTGGGGGTCCAAGTTAGCTGGCATGTGGCGGCAGGGGTGGGGGAGGAAGGAGCAGTCCCAGTCCTCTGCCCTCTCCTGATCCTGACCTCCTCATTGTCTCTTCTCCACCCTGGCCTGGTGGGGTGTATTTTCCCACTACTTTACATGGCTTCTCTCCTTCACATGACTGCTGGACTCCTCCACATGGCCCCACAAATCCCTCCTCAGAGAAAGCCCCCAGGCCCTCGAGAAGGGCTCTGAGCTTGCCATCCCAGCTCCCAGAACCTGTGTGCAGGCCTTTTTCCCAGAATCTTGGGGATAGGTACCCAAGGGACTGGTCCAGTTGCATGAAACTCTGCATCCAGGCCTGTGGGCATCCAGAGGAACCTGCAGACCCTGCTCCCCTCTTTCCAGAGCTTTGACCCAACACTCCACCAGTTCTGTGCTGTTTATCTGTCAGCTCAGGTGCTGCCCTCCCCTCTGCCTTTCCCCAGCTAGGGCTTGGCCTGAGTGCAGCTCTGGTGGTGCTCCTGCTCTGGGCTGTGCCTGAGTCTCTGAGGTGTCCTCCAACAAGGAGATTGCACACTCTTGGGTGCTGGGTGGAGGCGATGGGTGCATGTGTGCTTTCTGCATATGTCATCTGGGGTGTGTGAGCTAAACGAGTATGTTGCACTGGGGCCTAGGTGACCTGGCTCCTGATTCCCCATCCTCCAGACCATGGGATGAATGCACAGCCTGCTCTGGGCTGTGGTTGAGCAGGGGAGCACTATGGAGCCCACAGCATATATCTTTGTGTCTGTCCCTATCTGTCTGTCCTTGGGGTTTACCGGAGGTAGCCATATGGGGACACTGGGATCCAGCAGGGATGCAAGTCTCTGTTTCTACTTTGACCCAGTGGCTTTGGTGTGTTGAGGCAGGGGTTCAGGAGGGGCCTTGGCTAGCAGGCAGTGATGGGGGCTCTTCTCAGGCCACATGTGAGCATGTGTGAGGCGTGTCTCCAGTGGGGTGCTACCAGTTACATAGCTTGTGGTTCCGGACACCGGTGGAGTTGTCCTGAGATTTGGGGTGACTTTGTGGCCCGAGTGTGCACCTGTCTGTGCTCAGGGAACATGACACAGTTTGGTGTGACTGACCGAGTGAGGCTGGCTTCCTGTTCCACCCCTCAGGATGAACTTGGGTGAAGTGAGGCTGGCAGATAAGACCCGGGAAGATAGAGTGCAGACCCAGACCAGATGTGACCATGTGGTCAGGAGAATGGGGTAGGTGGACTTGCCCCCATGTCCTTCTAGTGGAGGGGAAGGCAGAGGAGCCATCTGGAGTCCTGTCTGTGCCTGTGCAGGGTTCTGCCTTGAGCTGTTTCTCTACCTGGAGGGGCCTGAGTATCCAGGGACACCTGGGGTGGGAGCTGTGGCCTTCTTGGCTGGGTCAGCTTGGTCCCTCCCCTGAGGACCTTGCTTGGCTCTTTGGACCCCTTTGAAGGGCCAGAATCCACAATGGGACAGGGAAGGTCAGGATGCCTGAACTGAGCCCCTGTACTGAGCCACTCTGTGATGCGCTATTTGACAAGTACCTTCAAATACACAAGCAGAAGAATGAGTCTGGCCTCTCTCCTGCCACACCCTTGGGTGTGTGCCACCCCCTCTCTTGGGGGGTCCTTTGCTCTGTGCCAAGACTCCTCTTCCTGCAACTAGCCCTCCTCAAGAACAGGCGCCCAGGGCACCAAGCAGACACCAAGAGTTTATTGGAATGACTTCCTGGTGCCGTTACAACAGTGGACACAGGTTTGGCTGGCCCTCTTTCCCTGCCCCAGCTGGATGAAGCCCTGGGAGGGAGGGAGGCAAGCAGATGTCATTTACCTGTGTTTTTGGACACTGTTTTCTCAATGGTCCTAGGTTCAGGCAGTGCCTCATGGACCACGCGGCAGGTGAATTTGTTGTTCTGCATCCAGTCTGCCCGGGTGACCTCCAGGCGGCTGAAGATGAAGAAGGTGGTACTGGAGCCATTGGCGTTGAGGGGCCTAGCTCAGCCCAGCCCAGCCCAGCCCAATTAATTTCACCCCAACCCAACTCAGCCAAGCTCAGCTCAATCCAGCTCAACCCAGCCAAGCTCAGCTCAGCCCAGTCCAACACAGTTCAGCTAAACTCAGCCCAGATCAGTCCAGCTCAACCCAGTCCAGCTCAGTCCAGTCCAACCCAGCCCTGCCCAGCTCAACCTGGCCCAGCTCAATCCAGGTCAGCTCAGCCCAGCCTAGCCCAGTCAAGCTCAGCCCAGCCCAGCCCAGGCCAGCCCAGTAAAGCTCAGCCCAGTCAAGCCCAGTCCAACCCAGTCAAGCTCAGCCTAGTCAGATCAGCCCAGCTCAATCCAGTCCAGCTCAGCTCAGTTCAGCCCAGCTCAGCCCAGTCAAGTCTGGTCTAGCCCAGCCCAGCCCAGCTCAATCCATCCTAGCTCAGTTCAGCCAAGTCCAGATCAGCTCAGTTTAACTTAGTCCATCCCAGTCCACCTTAGCTTAGCCCAGCTCAGCCCAGCCTAGCTCCGCCCAGCCCAATTCAGTTCAACCCAACCCAAAGCAGCCCAGCCAAACTCAGCTCAACCCAGCTCAGTTCAGCCCAGTCCAGATTAGTCCAGCTCAGTCCAGTCCAGCTCAGCCCAGTTCAGCCCAAATCAGCCTAGCTCACCCTAGCCCATCCCAACCAAGTTCAACTCAACCCAACCCAGGCGAGCTCAGTTCAACCCAGATCAACCCTGCCTAGCCCAGCCAAGCTCAGGTTAGCCCAGCCCAGCTCAGCTGAGTTCAGTCCAGACCAGTCCAGCCCAGGTCAGCTCAGCTCAGTCCAGATCAACCCAACCCAGGTCATCTCAGCTCAGTTCAGCCTAGCCCAGCCCAGTCCAGTTCAACCCAACTCAGCCCAGCTCAACCCAGCTCAGCTTGGCTCTGCTCAGTTCAGCCCCACTCCATCCTGTTCAGGTCATTTTAGCTCAGCCCATCTCAACCTAGTTCAGCTTAAGCCAGCTCAGCTGTGGAGTTCAGCCAGCCTGCTGTACAATTTAGCCGGCTGCCATTAGCTGTCTCTGGGTGACATCCTTGTCCTGGTTGTTTGCAGGAAGATTTCTGCTCAGCCCTGCTTGGGGTCTCTGAGCTCCCCCTGACCTTTTAGCTTGGTCCAGCCCTGTCTGGTTGAGACTCACAGTCCCCTGTCTTCTTCTTGTGGGCTTTAGGCTGTTTCTAATCTCCCTGTGCCCCAGTACAGGGAAGGGACAGCTGAATGACATGCAAGTGACCAACAGTCTCTGTTCATGGTGGGAGGACAGCCCAAGTGTCCCTTCCCCTATCACTGGCCCTGGTAACCTGTTCATCCCTGCCACTTGGGCCAGCTCCTTTGTTGGGGCTCCTTCCGGGATGGGATATCTGAAGTCCTCTTCTAGGTGCCTGTGGCTGGCATGGCTGTCCTCATCTGCAGCCATCTGGACAGGCTTCCAGAGGATATGAATCGTTAGTAACCATTGTCGTTATTTTATGCTCAGGTGATAGTGCCTGGGGGAGGGAGCTCTGCCTCAGTGCCCTCAGCTAAAAGTGGGGTGGGAACTCCCAGGCCTCGGCAACCCTGGAAGTTCCCTTTTCTGTCTGCTCTTGGGAAGTCGACTGAGTGATGTTGGGGTCTCAGGTGAGGCCCCTCTGCAGGGGACACACAGGCATGTTCTAGGCAAGGGCCTATCCTCTCTGCAGTCTGCCCCAGGACTCTCCTGCATAGCTCTCAGCTCGATGCCATCTGTGAGTTAGGTGGCCATCCTGCCTGCCCACTCGGGGTTCCACTGCCCTGAGAAGGGATCAGACACTTGGTAGTGCCATCTCTGCACCTTTGGCAGCCCCTCAGGGAGAGTGGGCTGGCTATTTTGTGACTGAGAAATGAGGCAGGAGGAGGACCACATGTGAACCTGTAAGGCTCCCCCAGAGCCAGTGTCCTTGTTCCTGTGTAAGGCTTGGAGCTGGCACCCTGAGGTGGGTGACCTTGACCTGGTACTCAATCCCAGGTGACAGTCCTACAGCCTGGGACCCTCTCCTGTTGCCCTGCCAGGGGAGTCAGGAGGCTGTGAACAGCCTACATATATGCATATGGAGAGATGGCCTGGCTCTGCAAGGTCCTGCTGCCCCTGAACCGTGGGGGTGTCATGCCATGTCTGTACTGGAGGCAGTATGTAAAACTGGTCTTGGTGGCCTCCCTGGGGGCACCTGAAACATCTACTGTGGCTGTAGCCAATGTTCCCTGTGTGGAGTGAGGTTTTGGACTGAGTGCAGGCTATATCTTTGACATCTTTGCAGGCCTGTGTGTCTTCAGGAGTCCCTTGGAGGTCCATGCACACTCACAGGGAAGTCACATGCACCTACTAGCCTGGCTTGTCATTGTGGGAAATTTGGGGAGAGCCACCAGGACTCTGATCCTTGGACCAAGGAATCCCAGGGCCATTGGTCCCTGTGTAGCAGGGCTGAGGGACGTGGACTCTGCCAGGCCTGACTTCCTCAGAGAGACATTCATTCAGGTACTTTGGAAGACCCAGAAGGACTGCTAGGCAATGGCAGGGGCAGGCAGGGTGGGAGTTGAGCCAGCATAGTCTGATGGTGCCAGGACCATCAGGGCCTAGGGGTGACTTTGTTCCCTCCCAGATAGGCTGTCTGAGGCCACCTGTCCTGCCCTCAGCTCAGGAGACAGACATGTGTTGGACACTGAGGAGTAAATGCCCAGTTCTCTGGAAAGAGTCATGGTTCTGAGGGAAACCACAGGGGTGGGGAGCCTCCTGCCCCTCTAGGTCAGGTGCTGCATTCTGCAGTGGGCACTGAGTGGTAGGCGGGGGCTCCACCTGACCCACCTAGCATATTTTTGCTCACTTTCTCCCAGCTTTGGGCATAAGGGGCAGGGCATTTGTGCCCTGGTTGCCTGCCCCTGGTTCTTCCCTGGCACCCCAGGACTTGCTGGGCTGCTGCTGGTGCTGCAGCAGGCAAGGCTATGTCTTGGATTGCAGTGGTGGCAACCTGGAAGGAGATGACCTCACAGTGTGTGGGGGTCCATCTCCCTCCTGGTGCTTGCTAGGTCCACTCCCTTGCCTACCCCCTCCTGTCCAGGAGCCCAGCTACTCCCTTGCACTCTGTGGGTGTCCATGCGGGATCCAGCAGGACAGCATCTGTTGTGCTGTCACCCTGCATTGCTTTCACCATCATCCCCTAGGCCAGGACCAGGGCTCCACTTGGGGCCAGCTGCCCTCTGCCCTCTGGTCACTCTGAAGTGTGGCTCCTTTACTCCAGTGCTCTGGGACAGATCTGCTCCCATATGGACTGAGTCTCAGTTGCACACAGCTGAATGCATGTGTGTGTGTGTGTGTGTGTGTGTGTGTGTGTGTGTGTGTGTGTTTGGGGGGCAATGACAGTCTGCCTCCTACCCCAACCCTGAATGGCCCTGTAGGGGTCTGGGGCAGAATGTGCCAGAACTGTACTATTTTTGCCTTCCTATGTGGGGTGAGAGTGAGACAGAGGAGCCCAACTCTTCCTAAGGATATTTGCCTAGGAGTTAAGCACTGCTAAATAATGTTAAGGATGTCAGTGTTGATAATAGGTGTTTGTTGTGAAGGCTGTTGAATGTTTACTTTTCCTTCTAATAAGCTAAACTGTTGGGGCTGGTGAGTTGAACCTTTGATTGACAGCTATCAGACCCTTCTTTGTGCCTGGCTGTCTTGAGCAAGGAGCTGTCCATTCAGCGGTCTCTCTTTTAGCCACCAGCTGGATGTCATCATGGCATTTCATTTCACGGACCCCTCGAGGTAATTACACTCCAGCAGCAAAAAAAACCGCATACATGGTTGCTGCTGAAGCCCCAAACTTCTGCTTCAGGAGGCTTTGCCCCCGCCTCTACTGCTCCAGACTGCACACCAGTCCAGACTGCGCCATGACCTCCAAGTGATCCCTCCTGCAGCTGCTCTAGGGGACCCCATCCTCAGATGCTCTGGACCCTGTAACAGAAGTACTCAAAAAGGTCAGGGAGGAGGAACACCACTCCTAGTGACTCAGGAAAGAGCTTGGGATTTAAGAAAGGAGGCAGTACCTGTGCAGTCTTGTGATTGGTGTTTATTTGAGGCTTGTGATTGGTTCACATGTAAGGGTTGTGATTGGTGGAACCAGAAGCTGTGCACATGCTGGGCTGTGATTGGTGGAGTTACATTCTGTGCGGGAGCATGCCACACCTCTCTTCTGGCTATAGGAGCAGGCTGTATATTTCTGCTATTTTCTGGTTAGTCTTGGAGCCTTATCTTCCATAAATTACCCTCCCTGCTCTCCACCATGTTGCAACATTAGGCCTTAAGAAAGGTTTCCCCTAAAAAGGAACCCTCTTACACTGCTGGTGGGAATGTAAACTAGTACAACCACTCTGGAAAAAAATTTGGAGGCTACTTAAAAAGCTAAACATTGATCTACCATTTAATCCAGCAATACCACTCTTGGGATATACCCAAAAGACTGTGACACAGGTTACTCCAGAGGCACCTGCACATCCATGTTTATTGCAGCACTATTCACAATAGCCAAGTTATGGAAACAGCCAAGATGCCCCAGCACTGATGAATGGATTAAGAAAATGTGGTATCTCTACACAATGGAATTTTATGCAGCCATGAAGAAGAATGAAATGTTATCATTCGCTGGTAAATGGATGGAATTAGAGAACGTCATTCTGAGTGAGGTTAGCCTGGCCCAGAAGACCAAAAATCGTATGTTCTCCCTCATATGCGGACATTAGATCAAGGGCAAACACAACAAGGGGATTGGGCTATGATCACAGGATAAAGTGAGAGCACACAAGGGAGGGGTGAGGATAGGTAAGACACCTAAAAAACTAGCTAGCATTTGTTGCCCTCAACGCAGAGAAACTAAAGCAGATACCTTAAAAGCAACTGAGGCCAATAGGAGAAGGGGACCAGGAACTAGAGAAAAGGTTAGATCAAAAAGAATTAACCTAGATGGTAACACACACGCACAGGAAATCAATGAGAGTCAACTCCCTGTATAGCTATCCTTATCTCAACTAGCAAAAACCCTTGTTCCTTCCTATTATTGCTTATACTCTTTCTACAACAAAATTAGAGATAAGGGCAAAATAGTTTCTGCCAGGTACTGAGGGGGTGGGGAGGAGAGGGAAGGGGTGGGGGGGTAAGGGAAGGGGAAGAGAATGGGGGAGAAATGACCCAAACATTGTATACACATATGAATAAAATAAAAATTAAAAAAAAGAAAGGTTTCCCCTAAGTGGTCTCTTTGCCTGTCTGTGGTCTTTATCACTGTTAGGGAAGGCTTGGTGCATAGAGAACAGACAAGACTCCAGGCTTCTAGCCCTGGTGGTAGGAGTGGCAATGAAGAGGTAGCTGAAGAGTTCCAGAAAGACACTGAGATCTAAGGGCCTTGACACCCAAAGCTCTGAGCTATTACTTTAGGAGGTGACTGAAGAGTTCCTGAGGGAGAAGTGAGGACAAATTCGTAAGAAGCTAAGACTACAGAGGACAGTAGAAGCATAAAGAAGGTGAGAGTCTGTGAAGAGCCTGAAGGCTGAAGCTGAGGACTGCAGGGCCTGGTCACTAGAAGGGCTCAGAGAGCTGCCAAGGGCAAGGGGCAGAGGCACCCACTGCATGGGAGCTGCAACTAGTCCTTGTCATTGATACTCTCAGCCCAGAACAGTAAGCCTCTGCCTTGAGCAGCACAGCAAAACCCACAGCCTTGGCTCCACCAGCCTCTCGTCCCCAAGGCTAGAGCTCAAGCCTCTAGATTTGGAAGCCCAGGTTGTGGACCTCTGGAACTCAGAGCCACCAACACTAAGACAGCTGCTGCTTGTCTATCCATGATTTCTATTCAGATAGGGCCAAAGTGCCCCCAGCCAGCTCTTAGTGATGGGTAGGGAGAGAATGATGCGGCTTGGTGTTCATATGAGCCTTGTGCACAGCCCCTCCGGGAGGAGGGCGAGGTGCGACTTGGAGAACCTGTATGGCTTGGTTGACTGAGACTGTTTCACGCTCACAGGCTTCCATCCAGGCTGTTGTTTACAGGACCCCTAGAATCCGTCATTCTGTTTTCTGTTAAAGGGGTCAATTTAGTCACTAAAATGATGTACCATGGAAAAAAATTCTAAGCGTACAAAACACACAAAGACAATTTTTAAAAAAAGTGAGATACTTCAAAATAGTTTTCTTGCTGGGCACTGGTGTCTCACGCCTGTAATCCTAGCTACTCAGGAGGCAGATATCAGGAGGACTGAGGTTCAAAGCTGTCCAGGCAAACAGTTTGTGAGAGCCTATGTTGAAAAAACCCAACACAAAAAACAGGGCTGGCAGATTGGCCCAAGGTGTAGGCCCTGAATTCAAACCCTGGTACCGCAAAAAAAAAAAAAAAGTTTTCTTTGGTACAACAAAATGACTTCTCATTTGGCAATGGATATATATTTTTCTTTTAGTGTGTTGGAGGTTGAAGTCAAGGTCTTACACTTGTTAGGCAGACTCTCTACCACTTGAGCCACTCCACAAGTACCACTCCCCCACTTTTCTTAGACATGATCTCGCTATGTAGCCTAGCCTGGCCTCAAACTTACGATCTTTCTGCCTCAGCCTTCTGAGTGCTGGGATTACAGGTATGAACCACCATGCCTGGCTTGTGCTGATGTTTTTTTCAGGACACAGAGATGAGATGGAGTCACACCCACCATTGCCTTGGACGTGCCTCAATCGTGATATTCAAGAGCTCACCATGAAAGAACATGATCTGTACAATGACCAAGGGGATGAGATTTTAAAATGACCTTTGTAAAATTAAATCACAGGAGACAAAGTTGTCTTAAGAGAGTTAGAAAAAAATAGATAAATGAATGTGCTTTAAAACTGAGCTCTTAGAGAGCAGGGCTATGCCCTGTAGAGTACAAGAACCAGAGTTAGGAACTCGCTCTTTGCCACTAACAGGCCCCAACATTAGGGGACCAAGGGACCAATGGTCGCTTAGACTGAGGGCCAGGTGGCAGGTGGTTCTTAGGCCCTTTGATCCAAGTGACAGCAGCTGTTGGTGATCCCAGCTGTCTTCAGATCCTCCAGACTTAGTTGAGGGCTGAAACCCCCAGCCCTCTGTTGAGGTCATCAGTGCCTCCATGCTCACGGAGAGGCTAGGCTGCCTTCCCCCATAGGACTTTGGGACTGCTGATCCCATGTTGTCCCCTGAGTACAAGCCCCTCATCTTCTCCAGAGCGATGTTTCCCTGGGCCCCACTGCTGCCTGCTCCTCCTCAGCCTCCCGAAGTCTCTCCCTTCCATTCAGCGGGATTGCTGTCGCTTCCTCTACTTCCCTGTACTGTTTTGGGTTCATGAAGTACGTTAATGTTCTGTTCTAGTTTCCCTATCCTCGTTTAGACAAACCTCTTGGCATCATGTTTAAAAATTTTATTGGTGCACATTAAATTGTACGTGGTACGGGGTTTCCTCATGGCACTGCAACGTGTGCATAGAATACACTTGGCTCATATTTACTCATTCTATTACTCGTTAACCCCCCTCTCCTTCTCCCTCTCCCCTTCCTCTTCCACCACACTATTTGCATTCCCTTTTACTTTCATGACCTTGTTTTTTTCCCCCTAGCCTCTACAAACGAGAGAAAACATATGATACTTGTCTTGGTGGCACTGGCTTATTTCACTCAATATGATGAGCTTCAGTTCCACCTTTCCCCAGCAAATGACATCATCTCCTTCTTTATGGCTGAGTAAACCACACTGTGCATGTTTACCACACTTTCTTTATCCATTCCTCGGCTGATGGGCACCTAAGCTCTTCCATATTTGGTTTTGTGAATAAAGCCACAATAAACCATGGCTGTGAAGGTGTCTTTATTGTAAGCTGACCTTGATTTTTTTGGGTATAGACCCAGAAGTGGTATGGGTGGGTCATTTGGTAGTGCTATTTTTAGCTTTTTGGAGGAAACTCCATACTGATTTCTACAGTGGCTGCACTAATGTACATTCCCACCAGTAAGGGAGCTTTCTTCCTGCAATTTGCCAGCATTTATTTGTTTTCTTGATGATAGCCATTCTGACAGGTGAGATGGATCTCATTGTAGTTTTGATTTGCATTTCCCTGAATGCTAGGGATGTTGAACATTCATGCCGTTTTTTATTGGCCATTTTTACTTCTTCCTTTGAAAAATGTCTGTTCATTTCCATTGGCTATTTATTGATCAAATAATTTGCTTTTGTTGTGTGATTTTTTTTGCAGTGCTTGGAATCGAACCCAGGGTCCTGTGCATACTAGGTAAGTACTCTGCCACTTGAGCCATGCCCCCAGCCCTGTTGTTTAATTTTTTGAGTTCTTTACATATTCTGGATATTAATCCCTTGTCTGATGAATATCTAACAAGGATTTTCTCTTACTCTTTAGAAAAGAGTGAATATTTCCATTTTTTCTGTAGAGATTCCCAATTAATCCATTCATTATGATCATGTTTTCCTGTAAGTCTTTGAACATTTTTAAAATAGGTTTTTGAAGTCCTTGTCTGATAATTGGGTCTGTGTCTGATAATATTAGGATTGATCTCCATTAACTGCTTTTCTTTTGACTCTAGATCACATTTTCATATTTCTTTGCATATCTAGGATTTTTGAATGCATGCTGGATGTTGTAGATGATATACACTGTGGACTATGGGTTTTATACTTTGCCATTGCCGAGAACTGATTTTTTTTCATGTTAAGAGGCAGGCAGCACAATGGGACTCAAACTCCTAAACCTGTCTTCCCTGAAGTTGGAAGTACCTGAAATCTCAGTTCGTTCCTCCTCACAGGTGTTGCTCCTCTCTGGGCCCTTGGGAGTTTTCCCTACCCCTGTGTGTATAAGGCATCAGGAAAGGCCTGGAGTGGAGTTTATTGCAGGTTTCAGGGCTCTCCCTTGGTGGCTCCCTTCTATAGGAACCCCCTTTCTTTTCCAGCTGCTGTTGAAGTGCAGCCCTGAGCCTCCATCTTCTAGCAAAGATGGTTGCAGGTTTTTTTTTTTTTGCCTCAATTCTCGTTGCACCTGGGATGTGTTTCAGAGAGATATTTCCAGGGAAGAAGCCCTGCAGTGTCTGCCTGATTTTGGTCATGAGCCAGTGCTTCAGATCAGTTTTTAAAAACAGTTTTCCCAGAGCTTATAATTGCTGTCTGCCAAAATGTCAGTCTGATATAAGCAGCCCCAGCACTACTGGAGTAGAGGATGCCTTCTCTCACGTGGCTCTTTATTCTCAGTTCCCTGATGATGACTGTGGTCCAGACCCTTTCCAGATGCTGAAGGGCTGGGTCGTGCAAAACTTCCATTCAGTTCTTTTGCCAATTTCTATGTTGAATCATTTGATTTTTCTATGATTTGCAGGAGCTCTTTATATATTGTGGACATGATTTGTCAGCTACATATGTTTGTAGAAAACATTGTGAAAGACTGAACTATACCACAGTATTACTGGGGGCTTCAGTGGGAAGCAACCATAACAGATTCTCTAACTCTGTGGGCTCTAGTCCTCTCATGGTGTTTGAGCTACTTTGCAACTCTATAAATTACAGATAATTGATAGATAATTGCCTGAGAGTCTACCTAAAATAATATAAAACAGACACTTGTACACTGTTGTCATTGTAGTACTATTCCCAATAGCTAAAACCCAGACACCCTACAACTGATGAATGGATCATGAAATTTTGGTATATATGTACACAATGGAGTATTACTCAGCTATAAGGAATAATGACATGGGATTTGAAGGTAAATGGATGCAATTGGAGAACATTAGGTTAAGTGAAGTTAGCCAGGATCAGAAACACACAAACCACATGTTTTCTCTCATAAGTGGAAGATCGATCCAAAGATAAACATATACATAAAAGCAAGCATGATCATATACAAGTTTGTATATGATCATACACAAACTCAGATTTGTCCACTGTTAGAAACTACTACTACTCTATGGAACTCAGGGAAAGAGGCAAAGGAAAAGAGAATGATAGAGCAAAAGTAATATCACATACCACAAGATGTGAAGGTAGAGGATATAAGGATGTGTACTGAAATATGTTGAAAAACGGGGGACAGATGGTGGGAGGTAAAGGGGTAAGGGAGAGATTTGAGGGGATTGAATGGACCAAAGTAAAGCACACCCACATAGGGCATACATTGAGACGCCCCACTGAAAGTCAACTCAAATATTAATTATGAGAACCAGGACTGTAAAATAGGCACAGTGTGTGCGGGGTCAAGAATAGTGGGAGGGAGAGGGTGAACTATGGTGATGAAGGTGACGGTGTGTGGTAGATGGTCTTCATATACTTATATGAAACAGAAGTAGAAAAATCTCTTGCAATTGCTTTAAGTAGAGTGGGAAGGGGGCTGGGTGGGAGAGACGATGGGGCAATGCAACTAATGTACAGCATAAATCTAATCAGAATTGTCATTATGAATGCCCCCGTATCACAAGTATATCCTAATAAAATATATAATAAAAATTGATCGATACTTGACAGCCATGTAGCAATTCAGAGCTTTATTTTACATTTGATTTGCTACTAACTGACTCATAAGACACCTAAAAATTTACAGCATTAGCATATATTAATTGTACAAAGGGGTTTCATTGTGATATTTCCATACAATACACTTTGATCATTTTTACCCCTCATCACCCCCTCTTTTCACCTTCTCCCCACTGGTTCCCATCTCCAAACAATCCCCATTCTATACTCTTGTCATTCATTTTATTTTAGGTCTAGATTATGATTTGTGAGAGCAATGCAAATAATTCAAATTTTCTTTGGAAGTTCAACAAATTCCTCCTTGTCTTCCTCAGAAAGAGAAGTTTTGTATCTGTTTATAAACTCATTTTAGAGAGAATTCCAAGATGGCGGCTAGAGGTAGGAAGCAGAAAGCGAGCCTCCTATAGTGAAATCTTGGGGAGATGCTGGAGACACACTTTGCAGGCATAATCACCGAGAAAAGGCATAACTTTGACCCCTCCACATCTCCAGCTGGTACAGAGAATCTCCACTTCATGTTAAACGGAGAAACGAGGAGGGCCCCCCGGGGCCGCCAGTGGCCGGCGCCCATACGGCTTGGGAAGACGCGGACCAGGTGAGCTTCGCGGTACCGCGGTACCCCACAGACAAGCCTGGGCCAGAGAGCATAGCCCCCTGGACAGACTGACCTCCACCCGGGAAAAAAAGAGAAACTGAGTAATAAGCAATAAGAACAGTTAAGACACGCTGGAAAGAGGGTGGCGCGCCCTGAGCGCTGAAGATTGGGGGAAGGGAATCCTTCCTGGACTGTAAATGAACAAGCCGGGCGGGCAGGAGAGCCTCTGGCAGGAGCGGGGCGCACGCCCAGCAACCAGGAGCCGGGAAGCTTGTGAGAGGAGGGAAGACCCACTTCCCACGTGAACTGTAAACAAACATGGCAGCTGGCAGGAGCAGCAGCACCGCCCAGTAAGCAGGAGCAGGAAAGCTTCTGAAAGTGGCAGTGGGAGGAAAACTTCAGAGGAGAGGGGGAAGACCCACCTCCCACATGAACTGTAGATAAACACGCAGGCCTGACAATGCGGGGGCAGGGTCACCTTTCCCAGTGCTTGGAAAGGGGAAAGCCTGTAGCAGAGGCTCCTGCACAGGAGAACTCTGAGCAAACAAAGCCTGTGGGACCAGGTGAGTGCTAGCTCACCCCAGAGATCTGCATAAATAACGCCGCCAGCTACAGGCTGAGAGCAGCAGGCAGGCAAGCCACAGTTGCAGATACCACTCTCAGAACTGTCTCCAGATGCTTTTTTTTCTTTTTCTCCCTACCTTTGATGAGAGAACAACCGAATTACACCTGCAAGCCAAAAAACTTACTGAAACTGTATTGCATTTGAACTGGGGACACTTGGTGGGGCTTTGTGTGTGTGTGTGTGTGTGTGTGTGAATGTGTAGTTTTGTTCTACTTTATGTATCCCCTTTCATGAGACAACTACAGAACAACATCTGAGGCACCAACTCCAGGACTGGAGATTGAGATGGACACCCAAATTATTAAGACTGAAACTGCATTGCATATAAACTTGGAAGTTTTTTGGTTTTTTTTTTTAATTTTTTATTTTCCATTTTATTTTAATTCATTTTTATATATAGATATTACTTTCATCTACTTATTTTTTATTTTTTTATCTTTGATTTTCAATCCTCTCTGTCTCTCTAATGTCTGTTCAGCTTACTGTCGATTAGTACACTAACACTCCCTGTTTATACCTTTGAAACTCTCTTGTCTGATACCTTGTTCTGCTTTCTCCCTCTTGTCTGTATATTTGTTTTCCCCTTTTCTTTAACTTCTTGCTTTCCATCTCAGCTCACTCTTCCATTCTAAATATTACCATTGTTATTATTACAAGCTAGAAAATACTTAATTACACACAGTACAGGGACAGTAACAACACCAAGGACAATGACGGGAAGACAGAAAAAACAGGAAAACCAGTTTCCCCACAGCAAAAAATTAGTACAAGAACCAGAGGGGAATGAAGAAACAGAAACTCAGATACAGACTCCAACAAAATGAAGATAAACTATGCCAAAGGACCCAATGAAGCCCACAAGAATAATTTAAAAGAAGACATACTACAAGTACTCAATGAGA